TTAAACCAGTCACTCACCAGGGCTGAGGGCAATTCATTTCAGAGATGCAATGATTATAAAGCATCGACACTCATATATCACATTAATGAAGTTTAAGGGGGAAAAAGCAAGATGATTCCTTACCAAGTAAGAAAATACTTGGCTAAAATTAAACATTCCTTCATAATAATCACTGTAAAAGCTAATCATAGAAGAAGTGTGCCCCAACACAATGATTACATTTTCAAAGATATGAAAGATACACAGTTCTACCACTTTATTCATATAGTATTGGGCTCCTGACTATCGCAACTATGTAAGAGAAGGAAACGAAGGCAGATCACCTACGGAAAGAATGACATCAAGTAGACCCTTTTGTCGATGGCATGATCTTGTATAAAGAAAACTCAAAGATTCAATCAAAAATGTGAAAAGTTGTAGGGTGCAAAATCAACCTATGAAAACCTGTAGAGACCTGTATGACAGAAGTGCTATCTAAAAAAGAAGCCAAGAAAATAACTCCAATAACAATAGCTACAAACACTTAACAATATATTTAACTAAGGAGAAAGATCTTTAAGGTGAAAATAATAAAATACATAAATGAAAAATCTATAATTAGATAGAAATTCTGTGTTCATAGATTGAAAGAATTAATGTTGTTAAAATATCCATAACCAAAGCAATATACAGATGCAATCCCTTTGGAAATACCTGGCGCACTATTCCAGAGTCACCAAAGCTTCTTAAAACAGAAAGCTGTTTGAGGAAAAAGAACAAAGCTGCTGGCTTTGTACTTTATGATTTCCAAATATACTAAAAATATTCTAAATATACTACAGAAGTTCAATATAGAAAACAAAATGTTATTATTAAAAATAGACATGAAAATCTGAAAGAAGACAGAAATCTACAAATTTAGAACCAATTGATCCTCAACAGAATCATGAACAACATATATTACATAAAGAAAACTCTTTTCAATAAATGGTACTGGGAATGTTGGGTATCCACACACAGAAAAATGAAAGGAGGATGTTATTTTTCACAACATAAAATCAACACAAAATGAATTAAGGAAGCCACACATGGTGATGCACGTTTGAGCACTTGAGAGGCTATAAGAATGAATTTGAGTGAAAATGCTTCCTTATATTCCTAGAGATAAGGAATTTTTGCATCAGAACTCAAAAGCACATGCAACAAGAGCATAAATGGACAAAATGAATTACATGAAATTAAAGTTTCTTCACATCCAAGGAAACAAGAAAATTACAATGTAATATGACATTTGCAATGTTTTCATCTCACAAGGGTAATAATGAAGTACAGGGCTGAGGATTTAGCTCAGCGGCATAAGCGCTTGCCTTGCAAGCAGGCAGTCGTGAGTTTGATCCCTAGTACCAACAAAAAGGAAAAAGACAAAAAAAAAAAAAAAAAAAGAAAAAAAAAAAAAGAAATACAACAGAAACTCTAACAACTTCATAGCGGGGAGACATAGGCAGAGAGACAGAGACACAGAGACAGAGACAGAGACAAATGGAAGGAAGGAAGGGAAGAAGGAAAGAAGGAAGAAAGAAAAACTAGGCAAAAGACATGGACAAGTTTGTCAAAAAAGGACACACATGTATGGCAAGGTAGTATATAAAACACTTTCAGCACCCACTAATATCAGGGAAATGGGAATCAAACCAATAATGAGATGTCATCTCGCTTCAGTTCAAATTGCTATTACTGGGACCAAGCATATAGCTCAGTAGCACAGCATCTGCCTGGCAAATAGGAAGTCCAGGGTTAGATTCCCAGTTCAAACAAACAAACAAAAAGAGGTTATTATAAAAAGGACAAAGGTAGCAAGTTCTGGCATGTTAAGAAACTGTAATAAAAGAAAATTTTCCCCTTTTCGGGAATGTAAATTAATATAGCCATTTTAGAGAACAACATGGAGTTTCTCAAAATAAATAAAAACTGAACAAGCACACTCACTCCTAGGTATTTACCTAAATATGAAATCATTATGTCAAAGAATCTGCAATCCCTTGTTTACTATGGTCATCTATTCACAAAAACAAAAATGCATAATCATTTTAGCTTCTAACAATAAATAAATAGATAATATGTATCACAATGTAATTCTATGAACTCATAAAACTGGTGACAGGGATATAGCTCAGCAGCACAGTGCCTGCCTGGCAAGTACAAGGTCCTGAGTCCAATTCTGGCAACAAAGCCTCTCCCAAAAACAAACAAACAAACTGGTGACAGCCCTGCATTTATAGCAACATAGATATACCAGGACATTATGTTAAGAGAAAGAAACTAGATTTACAAAGACAAATATTGTACTGCCTTACTAATTTCTGAAACACAAACTGATTTTATAGAAGTATACAAGTTTTCGAAAATGAGAGTAAGAGAGCATGTGGAGAGTTGATCAATGAGTACAAAATTATATTTTGAGAGAGAAAAAAAGTATTCCATTTTTGCACAGTAGGATATCTTTAACAATGTTGTATGTATATAAATAATAACTTTAAGAGAAAATTTCTGTATCATTCCCACAAAGAAATGATAAAGCTTTGTGGTAATAGAAATATAAACACTGCCTTGATCAATACATATATTTACATTTATATAGGAAACATTACACTTATACCCTGAAAATATTATCAATTATTTTGTGTGAATTAAAAAGAGTAAAGAAATCTTATTGCTGGACTTCCTGGAAAATGGAGTGGAGTAGAATAGGTAGAACAAAAATGTTAGTAAGTGAAGGATTTCCATGAAGAGATATGAAAGCACTTTCTGTATTAAGATGTAAGAGAAAGTAGCATCACAGTCAGGATAAGGATTTACATGATTTAATAAACATATTAAGTTAAATTAGATTTATGGCACTGCAGCAGGTAAGCTCAGTTAGATTTTCTGTACTGTATTCAGAGTCACATACTTTTGCACTATATCCTCATAAAAATTTGAAAGTAAAAGCTGGGCGTGGTGGTGCACTCCTGTAATCCCAGCACTTGGGAGACTGAGGCAGGAGAACAGTTTACAACAAAGTGAGCCTAAGGCTAGCTTGCATTGCATAGCTAGACCCTGTCTCAAAGAGACCAAAATAAGTAAATAAATAAAAAGTTAGGTAAAGAATTGCATATCATAACCCTGACGTATATAAACATTAAGTAATTTCCTTAAGATCACATGAACATTAATTGGAAAAGGCATGCCAAGAATTTAGATTTGATCCAGGGAATTGTCTTTAGCATAAGTCAGATCTTATCAAATTCAAACCTATTATCAATGTTGCTTAAATATTGAACTGGCATCAGACAGTGCAACTCAGATTAACCTCTCCACAATGAGGTTGATGTCCTGTACCTGAACGTAAGTCTGCCCTTTTCATTTAGAAATTCACACACACACACATACACACACACACACACACACACACACACACACACACACACAGGCATGCACCTTCAATTGAATTAAACATTTTGATCACATATATTATGTTAGCAATCTATGGCTGTTGTACTAAAATGCTAAAAAAATAAAATTCAAAGTTAAAAAGATAGTTATTAGCAAAAATAGTTAAAAAGATAGTTATTAGCAGTATTGTCATTCTGTGCTGTGGTCATTACCCTAGTAACGATGAAGCACCAACCACATAGTTGTAGATTAACTGACTGCATCATCATGCTGTTTTGTCATCCCCGAGTAACCTGTTTGCTGTGTCAACCTTTGTTCCTTTTGTAAGAGACAAGTGATGCTAGGTCAACCATTGTTCCCTTTGTGAGAGACAAATGTTCCTGGAATTGGCAGAGCAAGGGTTATCAATTGGCTAACCACCAACTGTGAAATGCTCTGACCTCAAGCAAAGGGGAATGAAGGCCCACCTTGTTTCTGTTTCTCATTGCTATGTACTTAATGGTCAATGAACTAATCGTAAATGAAGTATAATAATCTGTCAAAATTCTAACCCAGTTGCACAGCTTTGCAAACTCCATCTGCACTGTGCCGCTGGGTACCAGCTTAAATAAAGCACTCTTTTAAAGATTTCTTGTCCCCCCCCCCCTGGTTTTTGATTAATATCTTGAGGACTTGTTTTGGGATACAACAATGGCCTACGGGTTGATTAATTGTTTTTACAGCTAAAATTTTGCCAACAGGCTGCCCTTCCTATTTTTTACATTTTCTCTCTTTGGCATTCTAAGACACTATAGTCATGATAGAGACCATATGGTCCATGAAATCTCCAATATTCACTATTTGACCCTTCAAGAAGGTACTTGTCTCATGCATCAGATCCTACAGAGTGTTGTTAAAGGCTACAGAAATGGAGGCTACTGTGCATGTCCAGCAGGCCCCAGAATGTTTAGTGCATGTGAGATGTTATAGAGTAGGTAGTAAGCCAACAAGTACAGTTTAACTCTTCTGAATACTGGACCTTCTCAGCCTCCAAAGCTGCTGCTTCTCGTAGGAGAAGGAAAGACCTATAGTATTTGTGCATCATTTAGACCCTCAATATCTCCAGTCAGGATTCTCCACAGACTGGAACAACTCTCTCACAAATACTTCATTTAGACCCAAAGAGACAAGAATCTCAATCTCTTCTCTTCAGAGCTGAACAGAAATAAACATTTAATTGTTTCATTATTTTATCCTCAAGCAAGTAACCAGTTTCATTTAAGATTTAAAAAACAATAATGAAGCATATCCAACTCACATAAACAATTCCAGTTCAATGAATAACTAGGAGAAAAATTATTACTCTCTGTTCATAATAAAGCACATAAAAGATTGTATGTCTCTATGGCAGCAAATGTACTTGGAGGTTTCCAGAAAATTAAGGAGAAGAATGTTTTTCCTTGCATTGAAGATAGTTATTTAATTCAGCTGGTTCAAATATAGCTATTTTGAAATTCCTTTGTATATGTGATTTAGGAAAGAATAAAACATGTATTTTCAGATGAATCATTTTGTAAATCTATATTGTAGAAAAATTTCAATCAACTCACATGTCTCTGGGATCCATCATATTCACACCTTTCAATTTTTCCTAAACTTCCATCTGAGAAATATAGTTTCTCTGCACGGTGGTCAATGGTTAGTCCATTGGGAGTAAGGATGTCTGTACTGACCACCACTTGGGCATTCTTCCCAGTCAGGGTAGATCTCATGATACTTGGATGCTGTTCATTCCAGTTGGTCCAAAACATTAAGCTAAATAAAATAAAAATTATAATGATGAATTAAACTTTCCATTAAGCTGAAAACAGTTTAAGCATGGCAATGTCTATTAAATAAAGCTAAATTATTTGGTTCATATTTTATGAACTTTAAGGAAGTTTAACTATTAAGGGGGAAATAGAAATATTATTTATATGTATATTTTTCTTAGATTTTTAAACTTGGAACTTATTTGTGAAACACAACTATCTTGTGCATTCTTTTAAATAGCTGTTATGTTAAATGGAGTCAGTTTGATGGACACCTAGGGCGTATTGTAATTAGGTACAAAACAGTGATCTTAAATTTTCTCAGACTACAAATATAGCTTAATATCTTGATAATAAAGTTCAGCAGATCCAGCCTTATCATTTCAGACATAGATTTGCTAAACATATTTGTCTGCTACGATTGATGAAGATAATCATCTCCCTTGTATTCTACCTTTGCTTTTTAGAGTCTACATTCTCCACCAGAAAAATTTTTTAAAAAATAAAAATTGCCAACATCCCATAATTTTATAACCTTTTTTCTCTTATATATTTTTGTTGTACATCACGATACTGTTTCTGGAAGTATAGCAGTGACTTTCAAATCCTACAACACATTTCCTGTTTTTATAGGTGTCACCTAATGATTTTTTTATATCAGGGTTTGCCAAATTATACTTCACAGAAACCCTATAATCCTTCAGAAATCTCTTAGAAATTGCTGGAAGTATACAAAGACTTTCAGGACATGGCTGTCTCCAAGCCATATTTTTAATGAAGCATCTCCTTTTTTTCCTCTTGTATCTATAGAGTTACCTTTAAGAGTTTATTTGAACAAAGATTTTTGCTTCTTAGCAAGGAAAGAAAGGAGGGAAGACAGAGAGTGAGGCTTGACCAAAAAAACTAGCAAGATAGTATGCTGAGATTGCATATATTATTCTCATGTAAAAGAATTTAAAGGCAATTTAGAATTAGTCAAGTGAATTACTTAATGTGTATTTTTGAGTGTTTTGCAAAAACTTATTTCTAAAAAACATTCTAGTTCATAGCAAAAATCTTTCCAGCTGATAATTTAAAAATAACCCAAATCCTTTAAAGAAAATTATGTGATCCTTACTCTTTGTTAAAATAGTTCATTTTATTTTTGTTCTACAGAGCAAAAACGTATTTTACATAGCCAAATGTTAAAAATATTCTATCTTGAAAAACTATACACTTGAGAAGACAAAAAGGCATTTGTTGTACTTTCTTTGTTAGGAATTTTACTGACAAATTGTGACTTCTTTAATGATATATTTAGTTAACTAAAATGTTCAAAGCTATGCACATAATGTGAGATATTTAACTCACAATTTGTCTGTGGTATTTTCTGGGAGTATTGGCCTCAGAAAGAGAGTTTTGGAGATATCAGTATTCCTTTGATTTCACCTGTTTATTTCATAGACAAGGATCAAAGGGGTTAAGAAAACTTGAGTAATTAAAGTTTACACAAATAACTAGTATCACAACCAAGTTTTGGACTATAAAGAGAATAACTTTCCTTTAGAATTTTATTCTAAAATTTCTGTATACTAATACACACAATTGTGAGTGTCAAACACACCTGGGAGGGAAAACTGCTTTTATTACTTTAAATCTTGATTGCAAATATTCTGGTTAGACTATTTTCGGTTGTTTGATTTGCAGCTCATTTTGTATAAGATAAAAATGTAAATTTTAGCCTATAAAGCACTTATTAATTAACATGATTACATGCAAAAGAGTGTTTGAATAATATGATGAATGTTTACATTTTACAAAATAATTACAGGAAAGGACACACTGTCAAGAATGATGGGTAAGATGTCTTTAAAGAGATGAAATAGCTGAGTATTTTCCACAGGATCAATGGCAATATGTCTTTCAATTATAATAAAATTTTATTTAAATACCTCCCTGTGTGCTTTTGAAATGCCTTATAAATTGCTTTGGTTATCTCTTTGACTCTTACCTTGGACACTTTTCACTGTCCTGAGGTTCTCTGCTGTGGAGATCTGTGTAACAGAGGCAACCCGAGCTACGGTGTGTGGGGCAGTGGGGTGAGTGCAGTGGCTCTGTCCAGGCAGCAGAAGGCCTGAAAGTGTCAGGACTGAGGCCCCAGAGCTTCAGGAGCAATAATTGCACCCCTCTGCCTTTAGAGTGCTCATGTATAGATGGTTTTCAATGAAGTAAATTAGGTCTGATCTGACTTCCAGCTTTGTATGAGCATCTGGATTTATAGTTACTTTCATATATGGTACGGTAGATAATTCATTTCTCTGATGACTGGTCAGGTCAATGGTTTCTGCAATTTTTATTTTCCCATTTTACTTTATTACAACCAAACGAATACCTTCTGCTGCTGCTCAGTGAAGGCAAGATAGGTGTCCCCCCCCCCGTATTTATTACTGATGAGAACAAAAAGGATTATCTAGTTAGCAAACCAACTTACAGTATTGAGGACAAGTGAAACTATAGTTTTTTACCTAACCTATAATTTGTGAATTAGTTTTCCTATGACTGCTTTCTTCTGACATCTCCAAAATCACAACCTTTACTACTTTGCTTTGATTTTTATTCACTCAGTAGTTTAGTCAACAATTCCACTTGTCTATTTTCTTGCAAATATTTATACTTTTGGTAAACAAACGTAGATTTCTTAAGTGTTGAAGTATCTAATATTGAGAATATATCTGCATATAAAGATTTTTATTGATATGTTTGCAATTTTGTATATATCAATGATACACATAATTAATAAAATTATTAAAGTAAAAAACTCAGGATTCAATAATGATAAGTGCTATTTTTAAATTTGTAATTCCTGTCAGCCATGAATTAATGCCTTCTTTTTCTTCAACATTTTACTCTTTCTGGTTTTCACTATTTTAACTTACTTTTACTGAATCGCTCAAGAGGGTGTTATCTGATATTTAAATATTATATATTCTATTTATCCATACTTATAATGCTTTCATTAAAAATATAGTTTTATGAATTATGAAGGATAAGTTTCAAAAGAAACCATTTTTTTATTGTTTATTTTTTCTAACTGTAATATAGCTCTGAAAATCTTCTGACTTACAATTATAATACGTCATTCAGAAATCAGTGTTTCTTACTTTTGGCATTCATCCAAAGCCAGCACGTGTGGGTGGTCATCCTCTGACATAGTGATGACTGCTTCTCTGTCAAATGCTCCAGGCCGGGTCTGGTCCACTGTATGTCTGGTGATGGATGAAGTGGTGGAGCTGGTCCAGTATAGTGTGTCCCAGGCTCTGTGATAGGCCAGTCCTTCCACAGAGCCCACATCTAATGCAGCCAAAGGAAAGATAAAATTTTAAATTTACACTTTAGTTTTCAAAGCATGGCATATGGACAGAAAAAAGTATTTAATTTTATATATACAACTGTTACTTTATCAACTATTTCTGTATATATTGCAAAATAAGAACATAACTGTAATGCTTACATTTTACAACACATTTCACACTGTAAGATATAGCTCTGGACTGCTATATGCACATATATTTATATGTTACACAAATATGTAAACGTATATGACATATATATATATATATATATATATAGAGAGAGAGAGAGAGAGAGAAAGGGAGAGAGAGAGACAGAGAAGGGGGAAAGTTTCGTAAAAACATAGCATTGAAAAAACTCAGTTTTCTCATCCACAAAGACACAATCAGTTAATTGCCTTATATGTAGGAATATAGGAACTTTTCTCTTTTTAAAATATTTTAATAATTAATTTTCAAAAGGTAATCAGTATGTAACAATTTAGAAATGCTTTTGAAAATCATAACATATCAATACCATTTAGTTGCATTCATGAGTTTTCCATAGCAATATAGATTCTGATGATGTCAAGATGGAACAAATAGCTCAGAATTACAGAGATAGTATCAAGAGGCCAAATCAAAAACCATGCTTTCAATGATTAAATGATGGAAGAATTTATGTTTTGGTAAGTGGATATGGCAAGTTCTTTGATTTAATTCTACTAATGTAATATTTAAAAATAAAAAAAAATTAATTGCCAGCTAAAGTATGCTTTAAATGTAGTCAGAAAAAATAAATGGTAGCACACAAAATATTGATACACAAAAGTGACAGGACAAAAAACAAGAGTAATTATTTCTTAAAATTATGTTTCCAATCACCAGGATAACATAGAGTAGCCATTTGATTTTTCAAAGTCAGGTTTTGAGTATATTTTTTAGAATAACCAATTTATCACAGCTTTTTCAAGTTACCTGTTTTTTTCAGTTATTATTATAACATTCTTAATTTAACAAAGGATACATACACCTTGTGTGATCACATTAAAATTTATAATAGGAAGAATTGTCTCTCACTTTTCTCTCAAGAAATCTCTAAAAGGAATTTTACAGCTCATAAAAAAAGCAGATGGAACAATGTTTTCCAGTATTAAGATGTGTAAATATTTAATATGTATGTAAACACAATTGTATTGTTGTTCAAAACAAAAATTAAAGCTTTTGAACCAAGTGTTCTTCATATTTTTGTCACTTGTTTCTTTTTCTACAAGCCACACACCATATCAAAATGAATGTAATAAATAGCTACTACTTATTAAGTACTGTATGTTAAAAACTGCAAACTGTTCTGCAATTATTTCATTTTATGGGCAAATCTATTTTGAAATATTTTTTATTGTTCCTGTTTTTTAAGAAGGTAAGTGTTAGGGATTGATTCTGGATGTCCCTCCAAAGCCTCATGCAGTCATGGAGTTAAGCTTCTAGAGTTTGTGAGTGATTCTTGGTCTAATTCTGGGATTATAGGTGTGAGTGTTACACCCATTCTAAGGTGGGTAGCCCACATACAACATAAGGGATAGAAGGAGTCTTCTTTTGTGCTTCTCCCTTTTTTGCTCTTGTTGCTTTTGCTGTTTCCTGCCACTGTAAACTGCTTATGAAACTTCCATAAATTGTGAAATAAATAAACCTTTTTTTCCTTAACTCTGAGTGTTGCTCTTTTGTCTCACCAACAAGAGAAAAGTAACCAAAACAGAAAGTGAAACTTGTAGTCACAGAATTCATTATATTAAAGCCACATTGTACCCAAGGTTTGTCTACTTGCAAAAACTCATATTCTTAGCAGCACCATTCTGGAGTAGGTATATAATACCTATTACTATTTTCCATCTACACCAAAGTGAATCTCAGCAAGTGATCCATTAGCTTCAACTTCTCCCGTGCTAGGAAAACTGTATAACAAAGTAATGTGCCATGAGTCACCTCCTCCCACACAAGAAACAAGCAGTTGCCAAGGCGTGAATGGAAGTGGTTAGTATGGAAACCTAGGCCAGTGAAGGTAAAAGAAACATTGTAAAACATAATCATGATAAAACTGGTTAAACTGATTTGATGTGACTCATCGGGTGCTCTTTTCAGGGGTGAGTTGGTGGGACACTGATAATGGTTAAAAGTATTTCAGTTATTAAGGTAAGAAATCATCCATCACAGTATTTTTTGTTCTTTCAAATTACTTAAAAATACAACAACTCCCTCGATAGTATTTTCAGCACTACACTCCACTGCTCACGAGTAGAATGAGAAATAGCACAGCTCTGAGAAAATCTAAGTGAATGAGAATAATTGATCCATCCACATTCTGCATCTTCCTTTCCAGTGACTTGACAGATTTTCCTCTGGGCTACTTTCTCGTGTTGTTCAGGAAGAAACCACTTGATATCACAATAATAGATGCTTCTTTTCTGTGACTGATATAATTTCAGAGCTACTATACTAGATAATGCAGCTCATCTCCAGGTACAATCACTCACTTTACTTTTTAATCGAGTGTAAACGGAAAGTATATTTAGTCATAGGTAAGTACTACATTTTACAGCATTTCTGTCATCTCTTGATAAAAAATATTTAATTTTTATAAAATTGCAATTTTATTAACAATAAAATATAAGGCATACAGAAAATATCAAAATCACAATAATATTCCATTTGAAAAAGCACGAGTTACCTGTATTTTTCAATGACTTTTCATCAGTGTTGGGTCATTTATATATGTGTGTGTTTGTATGTGTGTACACACACAGGTTATCTTGCCTGCATATATGCCTACACGTGTGTGAGTTTGAGCAATCACATTCCTGAATCAGCTGAACAATCACAAAAATACTTGACTTACTAGCAGCAGATGTTTATGCAATTAAAACAAAATACCTACATATCTTTTCAACCAAACTTGCAATATTTAGCAGACTGAATTAATACAGAATTAAATATCTTTGGAACTCAAGGATGTAGAATAGGCATCATTAAGAAAATAACAACAGTTCTATTTTAGCAATCCCATACATTTATCTCAAGAGATCAATTGTATTGAAAATGTAAAACTAGTAAAGACATCACGTTCTCACCCTATGGACTTACCAAAAGTACATAAATATTTCTTTCATTTCCACCCTCTTTGAACAGAAAATTTGGCTAAACATTAAGTGTGGTTCTGATATGATTTTGTTATGGAAAAGAGCTCAAGTGAAGAAAAATACAAGCCCAGGAAATTAGAACTATGGCAACGCCACACCTATTATATGATAGATCCAAGATAATGCTGTGGAAATTGTTTCTAATAGCAGAGGAGAGAGCAACCAGCTGCTACTCTAAAAGTTACCCAAATAACCTCATGGAAAGCACAACCTCATTTTTAATATCATCACCACTGGGGAAGACACAGCATCCCTTCCTGTGTTAATATTTTTCTAAATATTTCTAATATTTTCAGGGAAAGACCTTGCCAGATGAAAAACACAGTAAACATGTTCTTGGTAGTGAGTGGGATGTGCAAAGTATTGGCACATACTTGGTTGAACTAATAGCATGCTAAATTCAGTAGCAAAGTTAACGAGAATTAACATTTACCTCAAGAATAGACCATAACTGAGGAGGTCTAAAAGACAGAGGGAACGGGAAAGTAGATACGATCACAGTACATTATTTACATGTATTGAGTGTCAAACTGGAACTATTGTTTTGGTTGCTTTTCTATCATTGTTGAGACAAAATACCTGACACCCACAGTGAAGCAAAGAAAGTTTTATTTAGCTTACAGTTTTTTGGAGGTTTCAACCCATACTCAGTTGGCTCCAAGGCAGGGTGGTATGGCTGAAGGGAAACTGTTCACGTAGCCACAAAGGGAAAGAGTAGACAGGGCAAAAGAGGGAAAGCACCCCTCTTTCCCACCCTTATGTTGTATGTTGGCTCCATCCCTGGGTGTGTGCAAACTCACACCATCAATCCTAGCGCTAGATAATGAACCAATCACAAATGCTAGATTCAGCTGCATCCATGATTACATGTGGCTTGCTGGGGGGAAGGCATCTGCACACTAACCATAAAAACAGTGTAACTAATATTCCTAATAGTAATAATAAAAATAAACACAATATACTATAAATGTAAACAGTTGCAATGATCTTCATGTAGAATGTGTAATACTATCATATTTCCTAGCTTGTTCTCAAAACAGCAAAGTATCAGAGTTCAGTGTTGGAAACTGGGTCACTAGAATAAAACATACTAATCTGGTTTGAAGGGTATAAATCTGTTTGACACAGAAAAGTAATTGTGATTTCTGTCCATGTACATAGTTTAAAATGAGAAGTTTCTAGACATAGCATTCTACAAATATCTTAACTTTGTGGTTTCCAAAGAAATAAGATATTGGGACAATTTCAAAAGCCTAAAAAAACTATTTACTTAAATTTGGTCCAAACTTTTTCCATAAATTTTCTTGTAGCCTGCCATCTCTAGTTTCCTCTCCAAACCCCTCCCTTCCTTCTTTCCTTCTGTTACACCTTATGTTTAGATGTCCTCCCAAGCTGCGGGTGCTCTTAGGTGGGGTTTTGGGAGGTGAATGGATCTTGTATGTGGAACACTGGATTAGTTCACTAATCTAGCAGATGAATAGCAGATATAATATTGGGAGTATAGAAAATATAATATTGGGAGGTGAAGCCAAGGAAGGGGTGGGTCCCTGTGGGCATGCCCTGGAAGGAGATACATACCTATCTGCCTCCAGCCTACCACACCATGAATAAATCTCCTGTCAAGCTTCTCTGGCATGCTGGTCTGTTTTGAACCAGCAGACTATGAACTGAAAGCTCTGTAAACTATGAGCTACAATAAACTTTTTCTCCTTTAATTTGTGAGTGTTGGGCATTTCGTTCCAACAATTAGAAACTAAGATATATTTCTTTCTTTCTTCTACTCCACAGTTTTTCTGTGTATAAATTTCCTCAATGAGTGAGTAAACAG